ACTCCACTGATCGCGTGCTCCGGCAGTTTGGTTGTTTTCAACCAATTCCGGATGCACCTCGCAATATGGTCGAGTTGCATAGCTTAGATAGACACGGCAAGACAGATACAGATTGGCTGGTGAGGCATCATGAGTGGGTCGTGTTGTGGGAGGATCGACATCGGCACCTTCCACGTAGAGAGCCCATTTTTACTAACTTCTTGATGTATGCTGAGGATTATTATGAGTGGTTCAACAGTAACGGGAAACCGTTTCTACTTCCCGATGATGCACGATGGCAGACCTTTCCATGACATTGACAGAGACGTTCACCGACACAGCACCATCGTCCCCCGACTCGTGGACTGAGAACAGGTGCTTCCGGTTCATCCTCAGCTGCACCAGTAGGACCTTCCCAGCAGCCACCGTAGCTATATATGATATCACAACCATATATGATGCCACATTCATATGATGCCGCCATCGCCTTTCCATTACCAGATGCCACCGCCGCCGCCTTCACCTGGTTTTATGACCCCGCCACCGTCACAGATGACCCCTCCTGGAGGCTATTATGAGTCTATGTTTGTAGATCTGACTTGAGGTTCATATACTGGATATTTGGCAGGTTCATCCTCATCACCCATGGCCGCAGTACAGACACCTCCTGTACAGTTTTCACACTCAGCGATGTCTGGGTTTTCCCAGTTTTCGCATGCCGGTGGGATAGTCAGTCATACACCTCCAAGGTCCTTATTCTATGGAGGTGCTTCATCGTCATCAGCTCCTCATCAACCTGATGTACCTGCTCAGGACGACGACGATGACGACGACGATGATGGTGACAGCGAGGAGTCAGAACCAGTGATACGAAGAAATCCTCCTCGAGACCGACAGCCACCGCCATGCGGAACACATTCGCAACGCAGGCATCGATAGATTTTTTTTTATTATATTTGTATTTACTTTATTTTGTTTAATTATAATTTTTTATTATTTCTCATTTAATACTTACTTTATTTTGTTAAATTTGTTGGATTTTTTTTAATATGTTTTAGTTAATTTTGTTTATTATCATTTAATATCAGTTATTGTAATTTGGTTATCATTTACCATTTAATTCTTATTGTAAGTTTGTTGTATTTAAATATCAAATTGTTATTAGTTTGATAAATTTTAATAATTGTGTTCGTTTTTTTAATCTTCATCAGCGATTATCGAATGACATTAACTTGAAGTAAATGTAAATTAAAATACAAGAATTATTATTTGATAAACAAATACATCATTTCCTCATCAATTGTTACTTGATGACAATAGAAGTGGACATGTTTTTCTAGTGTGTCTTGGGTTTCTACAATGGATGCATCTTCTGTCTTGTCTAGATCTTTCTCGAATATCCATATCGCAATGAATTTGATTGGATTTTGGACCACGCTCCCTCAATAAACTCGGATTTGGTACAATTGGAAGCCAATCTTGAACCTCATCAGGGTATTTGTCATTACCTATGGGGGAAACTCAAATTCGTATACCTTAAAAACTTCAGATAGTAGGTATACGGGATCCACAAAATGGTTGTAGTCTTGACGTGTATGCGAGCAAGCTGCTATCACATGAGAGCATGGATACTTCAGAGCTTGAAAAAACCCGCAGTCGCATGCTCTGTCCCTTAGATTTACTCTTAACGACACAGCTTCAATCCCTTGAAGAGGTCGGGGCAACTCTGTGACACGAAACATTTCATGCCTTCTAGAGAAGCTTGTTACAGACATTCCATTTGATGCAACAATTTTTTTCTGTAGATCTGCAACTAATCTAGGGTGATAGATATGACCGCCTTGCATCCAGGTTTGAGCTTGTCCCCCGAGCTTCGCAAAAAGCGCCCCAAACGAAAATATAGTTTTTACCAAAGCCGCTACAGGTAAGTGACGTGCACCCTTTAAGGTTGAATTGATTGTCTCAGCCAAGTTGGTCGTCATGTGTCCATATCGATATCCACCATCATATGCGTTCGTCCACATTTCTTTATTGATGAGGCTGATGTAATCGTATCCTTCCTCGTTCTTCGCCCGCAAATCTTGAAGCATTGATTCAAACGTTCGAGGAAGTAGTTCGTAACCTGATCAAAAAATGTATAACTTACTAACTTGCTTTCTTTGCAAATTTAAAATGATCAAAAAATGTATAACTTACTAACTTGCTTTCACTTACCCATGCACACAATTAATTGACGCTCATCATTCTTCTTGTACCTTCCATGATAGTTCGCAGCAATATATCGGAGACAATACCTATGTTGGACAAAGGGTGGTTGCCACATTGGACCCAAAGACTCCATTGTTGCTTTGATCCCAGCTCCGCGATCTGAAATGACACAAATTTTTTCCCTCGTGATAACATGTGCACGTAAATTTTGGAGAAAAAAAGCCCAAGAATATGTATCTTCTCCTTCTACAAGAGCAAAAACAACTGGAAGAATGTTGCGATTGCCATCTTGGACAACTGTCAATAATAAAACTTGCTTGTATTTTCCATACAAGAAAGTCCCGTCGATCTGGACCACAGGCTTGCAGTATTTGGCAACATTAACACACTGTGGGTAACTCTAAAAAACTCGATAGAATTGACATCGATCGCGAAGAACTCGATCATTATGGTATGCATAGGAGGTTTCGAAGTCCACAATTGTCCCAGGATTCAACGTCCGCACCATCCTAAACCAACCTGGAAGTTCGTTGTAAGATGCATCCCATTCGCCATGAAATTTGACAATGACATTTTGTTTTGCCAACCAAGCTTTTTTATAGGAGACGGTGTACCCATACTGTGATTGTATAGCTGAAATCAACACTGCAACAGCTATATGGGAGCTTGCTTTTACCATGGGCATGATGGCTTGACATATCACTTCAGAGTTTAAGTTCGGATGATCTTGGTTGACCCCTCCAGCATAACATGTGTGAGGACCGTTGTATACTGTTAGTTCTCATATGTTGTTTTTCCTCTTCATTTTCGATACGCGAACCATCCAATTGAATCCGTTTTCGCGTCGGGCACAATAGCATACATATTTTTCAGTCGTCGATCTGTTGACTCTGGACTGAACAGAATTACGGATATTGTAATTTTTGATAGCCATCATCTCTTCTTCTTTGCTTAAAAACTCTATGCCTAAAGATAACTCACAATTATTTATTGATGAGTAATATCCATAGTCACCGAGATAAGGCATATCCGCAAATTCTGGCCCTTACATTGCACCATAGTCAGCGTCATACATGTATGCAGGAGGGTCAGTTAGTGCCACATTTCCTGGAACTTCATCATCATCGGAGTTGAATTGCGGTGATTCTGGGTGAATGAATAGTCTAGTCTCAGCACCATCCGCACCAGGCTCACGAAGCGGTTCTTCTGGTGGAGATGATGGTTCCTCCATGCTCTCCACATTTAGGTCGAAAAACCTACTATTTGCACGCCTTCCCCTTGAACTGGAAGGTATATCGACATTGAGATCGAAAAAGCTCACAGTCGAATGCCTCCCCCTGGAGCTTGAAGCCATCGTGTCAAATGGAAACTGCACAGATGGTTGCGTCGATGGCATCTCCATATGGTCAAAGAAATTTGCAGATGAATGCCTTCCCCTTGAATTGGACGCGGTGTTACCATACAGATTGTTCGTGGACCCACCTCGATACATATCGTAAGGAGTTGCGGATGAATGTCTCCCCATTATGGCATTAAAATCATTACACATTATTATAGTCGAGCTGTCAACTTTATCAACTTGTTCAGCCAGCCCATAGTGTGAGCTTAAAGATTGACCACGAACAACACGCACTTGAACAAAATGTGCATATATCTCAATAGCGGCGTCTGAATAATTACTTTGAGCTTCAACCATCATTTGAACATCATCATTGTTCGAAAGTTCGAACGCTGTATAAGTTAATAGCAACAATGATGTTGGAAATCTGTACTGCAACGACGACATTCTTCTATTACTTCCAACATGAATCTTCATCGAATCTTCGTTATTAGCTCCTCAAGAGTTATGTTTCTCTTGAATGATATTTTAACACGCTCATTTGATACGAAAACAACGTCGGTTTCATCTTCTCGAATTTCACCATCATAATAAACAATAGCTTAAAGTCGCGCCATTCTTTGAGTTTAAAAGTGCGATAATATTATATCTGCAAAAAAAAAACTTAAACAAACATGATTAAATAAATTATATATGAACGAAAATAACACAATAAATTTTTACACATTAATGTAAATAATTTAAATAATATAATTTTATATTATTACCTGAGGTGCAAAAATATTTCGACGTATGCTCCCGCTTTTCAATTTTACAAACATAAAATTTAATTGAAAATAATTAGTATAATATTTTTTCAAATAATGATAATAAACAATAAGTATAATTAAAAAATTATAACAAAATTACCTTATAACGAAAAATCGCACAACTTCTAAATCAAATTTGAGAAGATTGCGAGAATTATTACTCGTTAACGGAATTGTTGTATTAATTTATAAGAGAGGAGAGATGTGAGCCGGAGGAGTGTATTTATAAGCATATAAGGCGCGGTACCTGCACCGCGCTATATGTAATTATTCAGATAAAAGATATAACGCGGATCAGAGACCGCGTTAAATATAATTTTGGTACGGTCTATAGCGCGGCCCCTGATCTGCGCTATACACCTACGTGGCGTATAGCGCAGATCAAGGCGCGCACTATACCCACGTGACGTCAGATCACCGTATATCGCGGGGCAGGGGACGCGCTATACCCACGTAGTGCCAAATTAGCATATAGCGTAGTGCAGGGGACGTACTTTCCTGCTAAGGGTGTTAGATAAAAAAATATAATCTGACCGTGTTAGATCAATTATAATACCGATCACTGGTGATATCCCGAATAAATAGCCTCGTATTTATTTACTTCTTGTAACTATGATTCCTCTCTATATATTTTACCATTTTTTTCCTCATAAAATCACTGTTGAAAAGGGTTCGGGTTTCCACATTTATATGTTTCTCTTACAATTTTGCTGCCTCGAAAACTCTGTTCTTTATTCTTCCGCAACAATTTTCTCGGTCGATCACTTCCTTGTTTTTTTCTCGGTGATTTTCCCTCCCGCCAAACACTCGCCAATCTCTTGCTCCTCGACTCTAAATTCTTGCGATCGCTCGAGAGTCTGTCTCTCTAACGGATCTCTCTTCCTCTCTCCCTTCCACTCATTCATTGGTACGTAATCGATCGCTTCACTTCTTCGTATATGTTGTTTTTGTTTTTTACGTTCAATAACGTGAACGTGCATTTATCGCAAATCGCATGACTCGGAGCCCTAACCATATCTTTTCGTTTAATTTATTTTAAATGTTTATTTGTTTTGTGTGGAATTTAATTGTTAATTTGCGGAATCTGTTATGAAATTAAACTTGAAAGTCGGATTTTGAATTTTACGTTGGGTGAAAAACGGAGATTTGGCAAAACTAAGTTCAATGGTTATATTTTGGCTCAGTAGAAGTTTCTAGAATTTTTTTTGGAGGACTCATGATTCGGGAAGTTATTTATTTATTTTGTTTTACTTGTGGACAATGGTGATAGAACTTTTTTCTTCTGTGATCTTTGGTTCTCGTTGTTATTGAGTTATGGTTTAGTTAATATTTTCTTGTAAATAAAATTGATACATTTGCTACCTGCGTATGGAGTTTAGAATTAATTTCTATGTCAACTATTTAGTTGTTTTGCTGTGAAAAATAGCTCCAGGATGAGTATTCAGGTCGTTGTTGATGTTGTTGGCATAAGCTGCCTGCTATTTTATGATGGATATGGTGCCTGGTTTTGCACAATGTGAAAGTCCTCGGACATTACTGTTATCAAGAATTTGGTGCACTCTATATGAATTTAATTTACTTAAGATATTTCTGTATTTGATCTTTGCATTTGGCTGTCATTTCAGAAATAGTAAGCACAAACATAAAGTTATCGCGTTCCTGTCTAGCTTTATCCAATGGCATGCAGGCATATATGTATATTGGGTATTTTAGATGGGATAATGGTTGTAGATAACACCTCTTGACTTATTATTTTGATAATTATTAAGCAGGCAGATGTCTTTCACTATTATGTTAATCCCTCGGGATGTTTGGTTGCAACTAACATGTTCACACTTTGATTCCAGTGGAGCCACATGATTGTATGATGATATTTTAGACACTTACCATTATATAGGCGGCCCTAATGTGTGGAAGGGTAGCATCAATTTTAAACATTGTCCAGTGTTCCGAATTAGGTAAAATGATCTAGATGCAGAATGATACCTACCTTTTTGGATAATGAACTGGTTATTTAACCACCCTTCTATCTAAGTAATTGACTGGCTAATAAATAGATTGATTGGAGTGGCATTCTTTCCTGAATCATTGTCAAAGTACCGTGATTCACCAACGGATAAGTCGTGCACTTTAAGATTTGTTCACGATCTTAATTTGTCTTTCTCCTTTTAGTTGCAGTGGCACCTCTGAGTTAGTAGTAGTTGTACTCTATTTGCATGCATAAATGCCAATTGCAAAAGCAGCCAATTCCGCAAATGTAATGAAATCAGAGGATCCAAATGATTCTTTGGACACCTTCATCAGACATGCCATTGGAAAAGAAACTTTCCTTCCCTTCTCAAGGGCTGGGGACAGCCCTGTTCAATGGATTCAATTGCTTCATGCCTTAGATCAACAAGGTACTTCTAAATTATTTGATGGCTTAAATCATTTTCCTGGAAAATACTTTATAATGCTACATTATTTCTTGATTTTCTTGCCTGTATCTATTACAGATATCCCTGGCTGGCAGTTACTCACTCCTCTGAAGGTGCAGACACAAAAGTGTGATAAGTGTTTGCGAGAATTTTATTCAACCATTAACTATAGAAGGCATATACGTGTGCACCATAGGTTGAAGAAACTTGATAAGGTTTTCAATTCCTTTGAACCATGATTAATCAATTAAGTTCATTTTTAGAGTATCTCCCGCAATTTGTTTTTCTTCTGCTGCTTAATGATCTTAGCCTCTTGGAAATTTGAGATTTCTCTTTCCTAAGCTATTTTTATATTCTCGTAGGGCTCCTCTAAAAGATATTGTTTTATATATTGTAGGATTCTGCTAAAAATAGGGATCTATTAGCAGCATTTTGGGACAAGGTATATCTCTCTCCCCTTTGTCTTTTTCTTATGCAGGTTTTCATCTTTTTCTTTTCTGTCATTCCTCATTTATATTATTTCCAGCTCTCAGAGGATGAGGCGAAAGAAATCTTATCGTTCAAGGATGTGTTACTGGAGGTAATTTTTTATTTTTTCTCACCTGTTTACTTGTTACATCATTTAGTAACAATTTTTTATAATTTCTCACCTGTTTAGTTCTGGATACTTCATTTAGAAATTTTCAAGTGACATCCTGATCTGGTTTACAAACCATCGATTTATAACTTGTTAACATTACCTTGTGTCCAAATGGTTATTTCTCACCAGTATAAACATGCATATGTTTCATGGATTACTGTTTTTGTTTGTTCTTGTCTCTGCCTCGTAAACAATTGCTTCCTTGCTAACTACACTTTCCAGGGAGTTCCGGGATCTTCAGTTATAAAATCGTTGACTACACATGTAAAGATGTCCCTTTCTGCTTTGCCACAAGTTTGCTTGAGAGCAGGTTCTGCTCTTCTGGTAAGGGATGTATATTCTTGTTTATTAAATGTTCTGGTTAGATCTGAAAGATGCTAATACTTTCTTATCCTGTGAATTTCATATGTCCTAATTCTTTTCAGGACCTCGTGCAAGCTAGACCTTCAATATTTCCAATATCTTCACAGGAATTATTTAGAATCCTCGATGATGCAAGTGAAAGGACTTTCCTTTGTGGTGCAGCCATGTCAATGCAAAAATACATTTTTGATGGGGAAGCAGGAAAGATTGGTCTTGAAACCAAAAACTTGGTTGCTTTTACCAGTTTTTTGGTGGAACAGAAATTGGTACCTTTTTTTGTTCTGTTCTTTCTAGGTTGTTTTACTTAAAAGTTTTCATGCGTACACATGCATAATTTGGTGGTGAAGTAGCAGAACTGTTGGATAAGAACTTGAACTTGTCACATTTTTATATTCTTCCATTTATTATTTTCTTATAAAAATAAACTGTGTTTTATTTTCAGGTTAAAGCATGGCTTGCAGATAAAGATGCTGAAGCTTTGAGGTGCCAGAAGTTGCTGATGGAAGAGGAAGAAGCCGCCCAAAAGAGGTGCGTATCACTAATTTTCCATGTCTAACAGTGTTTTTAAGAAAAAAAGGGGGGGGGGAACTACGATATTTGACGTGGAAAAAGGTTGGCCAATTTAAATTCCTATCTTTCCTTATTTTTCTATGAATCTTCTTTGAGTATTTATGTCTAGGAGGAAAAAGATCAGAAAAGCATTTTGAGAAATTTATTCTTTCCTTCGAGTATTAAGAGTAAACCCCACTATGTGGTATAGTTAATAATTTGCTTACAAAAGATGTAACACAAAAGAGGGGGAAAGTGAAGACGTTGATAAGAAATGTTTTTGAGTTTCTTGAAATGAAATGTCATAATTTGTAGGAAGAAAAGAGCTGGGTTTAAAATTTAAAATTGCAGAAATTGTTTTTCCATTTCAACAATCAAAATCTTTAAGGATAAATTCACTGGACAAGGAAGAATGTTGGCAATTGTCTTGTCAATTCTAGTATTCTAAAGTTCAGTCTTAACTTGTGCCTTTTAGTTCCTAGATACAACCTCATCATGTGATACAGGTAGGTCCTAACACCTAAGGTTAGGTTTATTGATTATTGACCTGCATGTGGCTTCTTTGGATACAATTCTTGAACATCTTATAGAAGGCGAAATTGAAGAAACTTTTAATATTTGATTTATTTCTTGATCCTCCACTGTAGGCAAGTTGAGCTTCTTGAGAGAAAGAGACAGAAGAAGCTTAGGCAGAAGGAGCATAAAGCAAAGGAACAAAGACACTCGGATTTGGAAGAAAGTAAGCAGACCATGGATGACTCATCGGAGGATAACACTCCCGCTGAAGCATCTAGTCCTTCAGCTGTTGATTCTGATGGACAAAATCCTGCCATATCCACAGATCAAATTCTCCCATCTGTAGAGCCCACTGATTTTTCCAAGCTGGAAGAGGATGTAGATTATGAAATTCATATGGGGTTTAGCAATGGCTATAGTGATCCAGGAACTAGTCATAATGTTGAAAGACGAATGGAGCAAGTTGGTGGGCGTTGGCAGATAGTTGTTGCTCGATGGCAGAATCCACATACTTCACAACGAGGGGTGCTTAATGGTTTCCATGCCAGTCAGAATTCTCACGGATTTAAGTGTGGAGGTTTTAATAAGCATGGAACAAACAGGGAAAGGTTTGGTGCAATGGGTAATGGTAATAAAATTTGGAGCCAAAAACCTAAAGCAGTAAAGGAAGGGGAGAGGTTGAAAATTAAAGAAGAGAAACAAGCAGCTAATCAAGTGAATCAAAATAAGATCCATGAGCTTTTAATTGGCTCTATATCTGTCATGATTGAAAATTATAGCAGTCATGATGGACACAATACAGCTGAAGCCCGTGACAGGAGCCTGGCTGAGTGTCAAATCTCAAAGAACAATGTTCAGGAGAAGTCCAGCAAACTTGATCCTGTTCGGGGTGTTTCAAACCGATCAACCATCAAGTTTTGGAGGCCAGTGAGCCGACATGAAAGCAAAAATTCACAACCAGTACAAAATGGTGTTAGTGAATTTGAAGTGGAAGTGGTTGCTGAAGAGGATGTAGTGCATACCGCTTCCAATGAAAGCTGTTCAAGGTCCTCTTTGACAGATGGTGGTGATGGCGTGGGAAGCGTGAATCTCTCTTCAACGCTTGTGCAACCTGGGAGTTTACAGTTCAACAGCGATACTGCCAAGGCCATTCTTTCTCAGAGTAAGTTGTGGTGTTTGATAATTTTATCTATCGAGCACTATCACCACAGAGCTGTTGTCACCGAATTATCTCGTAAACAATCTGATGGGCTTTGCAGGGTGGAAGGAAGCTATTGCCGGCGAACATGTGACATTGGTTCTCTCCCCAAGCCTTGATCCCCCAGGGTGCTCTGATATCGAAAACGATTCATTAGAAAAGTTTATTGTTAAGGCAAGGGCTTCCGAGGCTTCAACTACCGGACCTGCCCACCGCAAGTTCAGAAGGAAGCCTGAAAAGGGTGCGAAGATAAAGTACATTCCGAAACAAAGATCTGCCACCTAAGAGGTGAGATGGGAATTCTTTTGTTGTTCTTTTATTGAGGTATGCACAGTTTAGCGAATCATCGTTATATTCTTAGCAGGGGTTCCAGTTTTACAAATGGTCTTCTGTTGGAAAATGTTTTCTCATTCAGTCTTCTTTTCCCCCTTAAGGTGGTATAGCAATTTGACTAGTCTTCTCTGGTTCTGCAAATTACATAATAGTCCAATTTTTTGATGTAATAAATTGGGTTTATTGCTGTTACAAAGGTCCTTTTTTCGCGGGGTCAGAAGTGGAGTTTCAATCTTGGTTTTTCTTGCTTCTGTTCCCTGCAGACATTTTACAATTTTTTTTTTCTTTTTTAACATATCAAAATTCTTTAGTAATTTTGCTTGATTTGTTAACTTACTTTGCACTGTTGAGTAGGGACTAAACAATTTTTAGTCTTTGAACTTTATATTTTTTTTCTTATATTAGGTCATGTAGCATAATATTACACGTTTTTAAAAACATTAAAAAGCAAAATAAAAAGTTGTCTAGTCCGGTGGTTGATATAGACAAAAATGAAATTTAATGTTTATGCTATGTCATACCTATTTCACCGGTAAATAAGATGATATTAACACTTAAGCATGCACTTTTTTAACATATGATTATTGATGTAATGTCTATAATATTTAGACCCATCTCATCTATAAATTAAAAGATATTAATGTTGAAGTATGTACAATCTTACATTTTCCTTTGTAATGTGCCAACGAGAATATCGATAGAATTAAACTTAATAGACTTATAATTTTTATGAATTTAGATGTTGTAATAAATTATTTAAGTCTTAAGGGTCATCTTTGTCTCTGTAGTAGATTCAATTTATTATTTTCTTCTCTATCGTATTTTCGCATCAATTTAGCCCTCAAAGTTATTTAATTGTATCATTATATTCCCTACTCACAACTTTAAATTGTAAAGCCTATGTTAGGGTTTAAGGTTTAAAGTTATGGGGTTATGGTATAGGATTTAAGGTTTATAATTTAAGGTTTTAGGGGTAAGATATAGAACGATGCAATTGATCAACTTTGAGGGCTAAATTGATGTGAAAATACGATAGGAACAAAAATGATAAATCGAGTCTGCTACAGAGGCAAAAGTTATCCGTTTACCATTATTTAACAAATTCAAATTTGATATAATGAAAAATGAATTTATATTTTATAACAAAAAAATATATTCTACATTTCATTCGTCGTAAATGTCATTCTGCTCATAGAATACGAAACTGCGTAAGCTTAAACAGTTTATGGAATTGAAAATTTAACATTTCTTAATAGTAATTGTCCACATAAATAAAGTAATTAAATAAAGGATTGTGGTTCAATTATAAATTCCATTTCTCTACTTTACGAACATTGGAAAAATAATCCCGCTATTTAATTTATCAGAATTTGGTCTTTACAAAATTAGTCCAGTTAAGATTATTAGGTTCTCGTATTCCATAAACCTGTTCATCAGGAATAAGTTGTTTACGGCTGTTTTCGCGTACCATTGTAAAATATTAGTGCTCAATGCCACAACACTTTTCCTCTAATACCGTCATGTACACCTTAGGCAATGTTTCGAAAGCTCATTTGCACTGTTGACAGTGACAAAAGAACTTATTATCAAATCTTCAGTTGACATTAGTTCCGAGTTCGATGCAAATCGTTGTAACCATCTCGCTCCCTTACCGTCATTTAACCCGAGATATGTTAAATCTTTCACCTTGGATTCAGAGTAATAGAACTTGAAAGCTTTGGGAGCAAGGACTGATCCAATGTAGGCTCCTAACAGATCCTGCATGCTTGAACGTAAGCTCGAACTGGAGCTGAACAATACCTGTTCGAGAAGGCCACTCCGTCGGTTAAAATGCAGCTAGCCTAATGAAGAACAAGCAGCACTGCAGCCTTTATGCCTTGTTTATCACCCTCGGGAATCCTTTCAAAGATGCAAGCCCCAACAAGGTAGTGCTCAACGTTAGCACCGCATGAAAGTATCTTATTTCTTTGATCAAAAACCGAAGAATCTTCCGGAAAATTTTCCTGGGGGATGCAACTTTTAAAGGCATGTACATGGAGATGACAAAAAGGTGCAGCACTGATTCCATGACTGCTTCAACTAGGAACACCCCCCCCCCCAACCCAAATTCAGTTCCTTTAGCATGTGTATACTGTATTGGAACCTAAATTTGTATGATGATGTTAAAGAATATCTAATTGCTGCAGCCAGACCTTTTCCTATACTCGAGAAGATTGAATACTTCAGCTAGCCAGAAGCCTGGAAACGAACTTTGATGAACCCAGTTCAGCCAAGCTTTAGTTGATTTTACAAACTCGACTCTGTACAGATTATACCATGTCAAGTAACCACTTACAACATCAAGATACGATTCTACAGGAAGAGGTTCGCCAGAATAAATGGTCTATCAAACGTCTTACAGCCACAGGAATCAATTTGTTGACGGTTTTATCATTCACAAAGCATTGATCCTGAACTGGTCCTGAACACTGATCCATGGCAGATTACTACTTATCAGTCACCTCCACAAGCCACCTCACTTCCCTGCACTTCCCTGCACTTCCAACCGTATTCCTAAAATTTCCATTATGGTTCCTTACTGAACTATTAGCCATAAGACACAAAGGACATTCAGATCAGTAAACCTTCAGAATTTACATGATAACACTGGCTTGGTTGGGTGAAGGGGAGCTGGGACTAATATTTAGTGATGAGTTCATCATAGCATGATCCTTCAGAAGCTGTCGAGAAACACGACCAGCCAATACAGACTGTCCATCATAAAAACCATTTGGTAGCTTTGGCATGCTTCCAAGACCCTCTTGCAAATTAGCTGATTGTTTCAGATAACCGAAAGGAATAGCATCAGTGCCCCTGTCAAAGGTGTATATGAGCCCGAAGTGATCTGTGGGCTAAATATGGGAGAAGGAGACATTCTTCCACTCCGATGTGGCGATCTTGAATGCAAAAGAGGGCTTCCTATGGAAGAAACTCAAGACAAATGAACAGCATGTTGCTCCGACTCCAAGGAGGAATAATTCCTTGCTTGGCCAATGCCCTGTGAAGCCAATGAGCCAGCAAAAACAATAACAATAGGTAACTTGCGAAAGTTCACAAATTAAACATGCATAACAAAGTCAGACTACAAACACAAACAGGCATAACAACGAAAAAGTCTGCATCTGGACAAAGCTGCAATATACATTCAAATGAGAAAGTAAGCAATAGGTAAACTGGTATCTGCCAAGCGCCAGGTAAACTGGTATCTGCCAAGTGCCAATGGTCAAGCATTAAGTTACAACATGACTAAGACATAGAGGATATCATAGAACCGCAATCGGGCATATCTAAAGGCAAGACGATGTTTGTTCAGATTATATGACAATTTTCAGCATCCCCCATGCATGGTTTCATATTAATGGTCCATATTACAACCCGGTAACTTATCACATGACGACGATTTCAGAATAAATTACTCAAGTTAAATAGTGAAGCCTCTCCACAGCAGCAGCATTTAAGCATAGACATTAGCACAAGGATGATTGACCCAGCTAATATTTATATAGAAACTGATTCATTGGTTATAGCCAAAATGAACCTTTCTAAGTTAATAAACGAAATGATATAGAGCACAGTCGCAACCTAATTACAAATTAGGTAAAGCAATATGAGAAAAATACCAGAGCTTTCACCGCATTTGTAACACCAGGGGCAGGATCTGAAGGCTCAGGATCTGGAGTAGACCTTTCCAAAGGAGCAGCATATTTTACAAATGGGTGATCTAAAAGCTGTGCCGCTGTAGGACGATGTAGTGGATTATTTTGCAAACACTGCCGCACAAAATCTTTTCCTTCATCTGAGAGGTAATCTGGAATGGTTGGAAGTTCCTTACTATTTCCAATCTTGAACATAGCAGCAACCTGACGTGAAAAACTCAGACAAATCAAAATGAAAACTTTAATTAGATAATATGCTTGAAATTTTATTTTTATACGCCGAAAAGAAATATAATTAAAGACAACTAAACAGCTCTAAAATTTCAAGTATACTATCCTTGCTATTTTTACAACTGACCCCTTTATACTGATTCCTAGGTTTTGTTGTAGCCATTTCTAAAACAGTGCATCCGAGACTCCATATATCCACAGCAAGGGTTCACCCACTTGAATTCCTTATAACCTGGGGAAGGTTTCACAGTTGAAGAAAGCTAAAACCAGATACACAATAGTTTTCCCCCCTAAGTGATGGACTAGAACTTGATGTAACCCTTCAAATCAAAGACAAAATTAAGTCTGACCTCAGGTGCCATCCAATAAGGGCTTCCTTTAAACGAAAGTGGACATGACCGCCCTGCAATCTGCAAAGCATGTGTTTTAAAAGTAGGAAATCACCTTGAAGGAGAAAACCTTATAGTTGAATAATAATGTAGCATAAATGAGTCGCAATATAATCTCCACAACCTTGGACTACCTCAAGTTCAATCTGATTAAATTCACTTAAAACAAAAATGATTAAGCATGCACGTACATGCTTTGCCATCCCAAAATCTGCCAACTTAACGCCACGACCAGTATGTGTGCTCCTTTAATATCTCTGCCCAAGAAATAGAGAACAGGATGGTGAATGGTATTTTTTCTTTGAGAAAAAAATCAACAGACAGCTTCCCGTGAAGCTTTCAAAAATATTAGATGCCTAACTGACTTACCTGTGGACAGTAGACTTCGAATGTAGGTATGCAAGGCCAGACAAGATCTGTTGAGTATAACTTCGAATTGCTGGCTCACCAAGTTGCCCGTACTCCTGAAGAAGTTTATAAATTGACCCACCAGACACATACTCAAGGTATATGTAAAGCCTGTCATCTACCTGTAAAAAATTTTCCCGAAGTTCTGTAAGTTAATCATAATAATCCTCCTTGCCTTGGCCTTTTTTTCTGATAAAATGCTTACATGTTATAGTAAACTTTAGTCTGGTAGTTAAAGTAACCATAAATATAGTTCCCAAAAGTTTATTAGGATTATATGATTCACCATTTCTCAATATTAAAGAGCAATGCTTCCTGATAGAATCCTTTCGACAATGGAACTTTTAAATATGTTAAACAAAAATTTTAACATAACCATACTCGACTTCTAGTCATAGTTCACTATTTCTCAATATATAAAGTGCAACTCTTTTAGATAGAAGCCAGAACCCTTTTGGTCTGTAAATGTTCTAAATAACCGTAGCAATACAAGATGTCAGGACCAATGAACAGAATGCCATACATGGGACACACCTTTTCGGACCCATAGTATTGCACAATGTTTGGATGCCGTAAACAGCTCAATAAACACTGAATATTTACACAGCTCAATATAGACTAGCTAAGGAAAGGTGTTACCGAAAATGTTATTAATACTTTAATATTTCCGGTAAAACGCTACCTCAAATACTGAATATTAGGCTGCCGTAGGGAGACATCGCCAGACAGATGTCTGAGGCAAAACTGACGGAGTTGTCTTGTCTGAAACGTTGATTTCAGAATATTAAAGGGAGACATCCCGAGAGAGAGAGGATGTCTGAGGCAAAACTGACGGAATTGTCTTATGTGAAACGTTGAATTCAGAATATTAAAGATAAATGAATATTATTATTAATCATAAAATATTTTAAAAACAAATAAATATATAGAAGCAGCTGAAAATTTCCACGTGCGTTCATTTTTTTTTACATTGATATTCTTCAATTGGATCTGATTCCTTCCTCTCTTTTGTTGCTTTTGGTGTTTTCTTTCTCAAAAAAACTAATTTAAATAATAATAAATAACAATAATAATAAGGGTATATTGCACAAGTAATTATTATTTTAATCATATATATCTAATTCAATAATCAATTAATCCGAATTATAAAACTTGAACTAATTTTGTTGGTGCATTTGAACTTACATTGATGGAATTGCTTAATCTAATCTATGGTACTCTGGCAGATTTAAGGACATGGTTGCGCTTGTTTTGAAAACCTAGTGATTGCAGCATAAGAATGTGGCAAAATTTGTCTAATACGTAAAGGCGACGTGTTACAATAAAAAATATATTTTTTTAAATTTTTATCCTCAATGTGATAAAAATTAATAAAAAATTATTTAGACTTGTAACTCATCACCTCGACGTGAAGAGTTCCTTAAACATTGTAACAAATATCATAGATCCCAAATTAAAAATCTAACAACCCTATTTTTCCAATTATATTTTCTGCCTACCGTATAGGACCTACAAAACCCAGTAAATGTTATAAAATAAGTTAAACCCATCACGCCCACGTGACGAGTTTTCGTAAATAATATTTTTATTCAAACGTGACGAGTTTTAAAAAATATATAATTATTTTGTTAAAACTCGTCATATTCACGTGATGAGTTCCAAATCATTGTAACAAATATCGTAGATCTTAAATTAATTTTAGAGATGATCTAATATATCAATCTTTTATCCGCCTAACCTGGTGGACCAATTTTACCTAAGAAATGTTTCACTCTCAAAGCCCATTTGTTGTAAACCGGCAGCCATGTCCGGTTCTGAATTAGGACCAATAGAGATTGTTTACATCGATTACCGGCCATATAAGCCCATTTGATTTTCTTAATTTTTCTTTTTATATTCAGGTATTGACATTTAATACAAACTGAATAAATTCTAACTCGATTTGATTTTATAAAATTATATTTTCTAAAAAAATAGATTTGAATATTTTTTTAATGTTAGATCAAATCGATTCGAATTTAAGTTTTTTTAGTGAAAAATACTTGTTATAATCCAACCCAAAAATAATAATATATTTGACTTTTATATATTTGAGAATAATTATTATGATACACATCTATATCTTTTTTTTTCAATTAAATCTTTATTTTATCAGATAAAAATAAAAATTATATAAGTGTATGTGTCGAGACAAATCGGATCAAATTTTAAATCAGAAAAAACTTCTTTTAATATCAAATCAAATCGGGTGACGGGTGAATGAGTATTATGCTTAGATGATTCGATTAGAGTGAGCCAAAAACTCAACCCGAACCATAACAATCCCTATTTACATCCTACAAAGAATCACTTCACTTGAAATTGTTAAACACTGATTAATTTGGCAGAATCGGAAAAGGTTTAAAAGGAAAAGAAAATGGACTCACTTCTCGCCTTGTTTCTATTTGGAATATTTATTTTATTTTTGAAATCACTCAATTTCCATTGATGGGGTAAAGTCAAACTCTTAAGACAGAGAAAAAACTGTGCTTGAATTGTTTTCCTCGTCTACACGACATGAACTCGATAATTTACTTTAGGATAAATTACAAATTGCATCACTAAACTTTACCCTTTCTCTAATTTTGCTTACTGAACTTTAAAAATGTTCATTTTCCTCACTAAACTTAATATATTGCTTTTTTTACTTAACTATACTCCATCTCCTATTTTGGTCACTTCATCATTAAATAGTTAACGACATTAAAAACGATGTTTAAAAAAACAAAATTTTCACAAAACAACGTCGTTTTGCATCTACATAACAACTCATTTTAACGCCGTTAACTATTTAACGGCCGAGTGACCAAAAGAACCTAATGTATTAAGTTCAGTGAGAAAATTGAAAAGATTTAAAGTACGGTGAGTGAAGTAAAGTTCAGTTACTAAATTTGTAATTTACCCTTTACTTTAAACCGACAAGTGAGAGATAAAGAAAAGAAAAACATCAAATTTGAAGCTTATACTCGGTAAAAACAGATCAATAACATAAACACAGGGATAGGAGAAAAGGCACCAGAACATAAGTGAGCCCTCAAAATCCCCCCATTGATCTTTATAATAATGTGGATGGTGAAGAAGCAGAGTCCATTTATGTTGGGCACAGCTTGTTACATCTTTTCTGTCTTTGATTTTTGTGGACAGATATATTAAAGCTTTGGCTGCTACCTAACCAAACATTGTTCTGCTTATGCTTAGCCAGCATATATATTGCTGGCATCAACCATTAATGGCCATCATTCTATGGCCTACTATGGACTTCATCGCTTTAATGATCCATGCCCTACAAAACAAATGTCTATTAAAACCGTATGGACTTATCAACCACTTCTGCACCAAACATGTTCCCTCTGGCTTCAATGCTATGCAGAATTCTTGTGCCTAATTACCATGTTATCCGGACTCGAACGTTATTGTCAGGTATATGCATGCCTAAAGATCGTATTCTTGTACCTATATATATATGTATATATATTATATATGAATATATATATATATTATATATGAATATATATATATGTGTGTGTGAAGAAAAACAGAGTTTGGATAACTAGCTTAACTAGATGCAAATTATCTGAACACCAAACTATGAATCCCTCAAGACTTGAAGTATGAAGGTGTGCTCGTTTTGGTTCGAACTAAGCGTATATCCTACAAGAGTCCTTAGACCTCAGTACTTTCGATGTACGCATATGCAAAGCGACTAAATCCCGTCGTGTAGTGAGAAACGGGAGAGATGTCCAAATCCCGATTATTACTATTTGAGGCCAATGTATGAACCACAAAAATCACCAAATGAGCTACATATTACCATAGACGGAGCTATGTTGGGACCCAAAGGGGCCCTGACCCCTGTAAAATTTTATATATTCGATAGATTTTGATCTAATAGTATTTCGACTCATGTAAAAAAAAATTCAAATTAGAAAAAAGTTATTAAATATTCTATCAAGTAAATGCTGAACTAAAGGAGGATAATCCCATGTTCTTAAATTTTTTTGTCTAATAACAATTTAGGTCATTGTAAGTTTAAATACTAGACATATTATGCATTGTCTTCTGAATTTTGAGTTTAAATACCTAATAAGCCATTGTATTTTTCTTAAAAAGTTCAATATTTCGGCCTCTGCCAATATTTCATCTTGGCTACTAGCATGAAGAAAAAAAATATCCTTCTTACTATTAAATATTTGAAAGAAGAGAATAATAGTAATAATACAACACTACATGTGGATTGTGGATACTTTGTTTTTGGTATAACACTAGGTAAAGAAATATTAAAAGACTGCCCTATCAGTACCCACACTGTTTATCCCTATGAACTATTCGCTCGCCGGATCATCTTTTAGGTCGTAAGGAATAAATACTCTTCTGACCACTGAAAATAGCCTTTTAGTTCACTTCACCATCTAATTATACCGAGACTATCGAAGAAAGTACAAACTTCGGATAAAACAACTGAAAGGCTAGTGGTTTAGTGTTGTTGCAAATCCATTAAACCAGTTTTATGACTTTATGCATTGATGTGAAACTAAGTTGCATAGTTTACAAAATCAGCTGACCTCTGGCTGCAACATAGGGAAGAAACTCCAGTTGTTACCGGGTCTAGCTTCCTTTCCGGCAACCTTTTCATTCGCCCACCACTTGGACCTGACAGTGGGCTTATCAGAAGCTTCACCTTTTCTGTTGTCAAAGTCGAACTCTTTAATTGACCCGAGAGTAACAGAACGATGCTTTTGATAACAATGGTCCTCTTCAGCTTCTCCTGAAACCTTTTCATCTGTTTCTTTGGATGTGTCTCCAATAAATAGCTCAAAAGAACTTTCTTGATCATTTGTTAGTCCATCTTTCTCTACCCTGCCCTGCTCCGCCAAGTCCTTCGGATATTCATAATCTGGCAAGATTCTGCTTGAAACCAATGACTTGTTTTTGAGGCACCGTGCGACATCTTCCCCATTCAATTCAAAAGAGACCCTGTGATCAACTATAATCTCATCGTTTTTAGGTCCATTTGCCGGATTAGAAAGCAATGCTACCTTAGAAATTTGACTCTCCACAAGTAGACCATCTCTTGAGGCAGGACCCAAACCATCAGGTGCCAATGTTCCCGAACCCAATCTTGAACCCAAACCCAGACCATCTAGAGCCACGCATCCAGAAGCCAGTCGTGAACCTTGCCCTAGTCCATCTGGTGTCAATGATCCAGATCCTAGCCTAGAACCCCATTTTCGAGTAGTAAAATGTTCAAATCCTAAGATTTTGGGAGCCTCCCCCATGCGGAACTCAATGATTGGACGTCTATCAGGAAAAGGAGAGGATGTTCCAGAATTAGAGATTACTGACCCGGGTGATATGAGATTACCACCAGGGCTCCCGGGGTATATTTGACAAGCCTGAAATTCATAATGGGACAATCCGAATTTCTGATTGATCCCGCTGTTTCTCCGAGCACGCTCCAAGGAAGAAGTCAGCAATTGAGCAAACGGTACTTCAGGGGATGAAGGTGTAGTCAGTTGAACAGGTTCTGGAGGGGGTGTAAAAGGAGCTGTGGATGGTTCAGTTGTCAAAGTAGAGAATACAGGTGGTGTGACTAACTGGGTTTCATGTGCATAAGGGCCTGTGGCAAAAATGGATGCAGGTCCACGGGGAGAGTAGGCGTTAACGGAAAGGGAAATTAGGGATTGCAATCCAGCCGGTGATTGGGTGGCAGATGGAGGATCCGATTGCAGGAATGATACAGGAGATGAGGGAGGGGCGATAAAGGGCATTACAATGCCAGTCGGATTGCTTACATTTTCGGCAGTTGAAACTGCAGCTCCAGGTGCCACTGGTTCAGTGATAAGGACAGCATGGCCAATTCGCTTACTGTTCTTATGAGATCCGAAACACCAGTAAAAGCTCCAGCAGCTTCCCCATCGTTTCTTCTGTTGTTAAATAAAAGAGCGTGATTCAGTATTCCATACAGAAAATAAGTTATTTTCATCCTCAAGCACTCTCTATAAGGCATTGAATGATATAGGTAAATTGGTTTCAACTCTCAACTGCTAGAATAAGATGCCAATGAAAGATTAATGAATGGCAAGATCAACAAATAACTATCTGTTACCGGCCTACCGCAACATGATAATGACTACATCACAATAACTAGTTCCGCATAAAAATTGATAATTTTTTTCTGCCTGGATCTTATCGTTGCAATATGTTTATAAAACTCCGCTTTCCATTTTCCTTTGTTGGCTGCAGATCAAATTGCATTCTTCCTAGATTAAGATTTCATAGGCAGTTCAATATGATGGCAAAAGAGACGTAAATCACTTGTATCAAATATCAAAATGAGCTCCATTGCTTTTAAATTGTGTAAACCAAATCGACTAATTTTCCACTGGAAGGCAATATTAGAGAGTTCTTCGGTAGGATAACACTAGAATGAATAGAGGAGCTGCTTCACCAACCCAAACCGTGAAGTAATTGTAGAAAACTGACCGAACAAACTTGAAACTACCAGAAAGATTACCTTTTCACTTAAAAAGAAAAAGAATTAATTTCTTAAACTCAAATCTGCTCCTTAAAGTATACGCGTAAAGCGATCTTTTTATTTCTTTTTAACTTTTTAATTGAATTCCAATGATAAGATTTTCATTTTTGCTGTTTATTCTTAAGAAGCATGAAAAGCAAAAAGGTAAAACTATAACCTTGAGTTGACTACCTACCTCAGCTAAAGTTTAGAACTCAAAATCCGAATTTCAATTAGTTTCAGTTTTCCCTCAGTTTCTTGGCAACCAAACAGAGACCGAAGAAAATTAAAGTTCAATACTGAAAACGGATCACAAATAAGTTTCAGATTTTTCAACACCGAGAACAACAAGCAAATAACATAAACAAGAGATTTTTCAAAAAAAAATCAGAAAATCGCGAAATTAACTTTTCTCAATTCAGAAGAGAGCTTAAGAAATCTGAAAATCGCGAATTTCCGGTACTTTTCTCGGCAGCCAATCATGAAAAACAAAAAAACAAAAGATTTTTTTTAGAAAGACTACTAGTGAAAGTGGATATACCTGAACTGTGGTAGGCTGGACTCTGGACTCGGCTGAGACGATGGCGGAGGCAGCGGCGTTAACGGTTACAACGCTGTCGTTTACACTTCTCATCTTCGATTTATAATCTTATTACGATGCGTTATTAACATCAGCTTCATGTAACTTCAAATCTATTCTAACTCTCAAGATTCAACAAATCTCAAACAACGATTTGAAGACAACTTGAGTGAAATGATATAATGAAATTAAAAAATCGAAACTTTTTTTTTGTTTAAATTAATTCGTATAGATCAGCTGAGAGCTCTGATTTCCTTTTCTTGCCTTCTCTTCCAGTTCGATTCTCATCCCGTCGTTTTCCTCCAGTTTTCATCCATTTTGCACCGAGCTATTGCCACGTCAGCCTAAGAGATGATGGGGGCCCACTGCTTTTAGTTTTTCTTTTTCTATTTGTTGCAATCAGTTGTATTTTGCTTTCTTTTTTTCCGGATGAAATTTAAAAAGTAAAATATATTTTACTTTTATTTTAGTTTTACAATAATTATTATTATATTTAATCGAATGATCTCCGTGATTAAAATAACAATTATTATTTTTTAAAATCTTGAGTTTTAACACAATTAGGCCGGTAAATAATCGAACGAAATTTTTTGTTTGCGATCGTTCATTAATAAATTTAACTTTTTCATGTTCGTTTATGTTTGTTCATTTAAATAATAAACGAACGTAAACGAACATAACATTAATTGGGTTTATATTTGAGAAAAGTTTTTTTTTCAAATAATTATAGGATTTATATTTTCTTTAATTGATTTTAGTATTTTTTTATTTAAGTTTAAAATTAATGGAAATTAAAAATATTAATGTGTTTAAAATTAAAATTTATTAAGTCTCTGTAATTCAAATGGGTTTAAAGAATATAAACGAACATAAACAAACATAAACGAATGACCAAAAATGAATGACCAAAAATGAATGAATAAAAACGAACGTGATTATCGAACGTTCACGAATATAAATGAACGAATATTTTTTTCTTATTCATTCATTTAATTAAACGGACATAAAATCTCATTCATAATCGTTTATTTAAAAATATTCTTATGTAAATTTTATATAATATGTATCAAATTTTAGGGGAATGATGCCATAAGAAAGTTTACGAAGGTCCGAACACGATAACGGTTAACGAATTTTATTTCGTAGCTAATAATTTGACGGGATTGCCCTTTCAACTTATTCAAAATTTCTGATGATGCCACTCAGTTATGGCGAAAAGAGCCAGTAAGGTGTGAGAAACTCGTGACTTTTGTAATGTAATGTGCTTGCCGTCTGTTGTTGTGTTGTATTTTTTTATTAAAATAAGTATTTAAAAATATTTTATTGATTAAAATGGGCACATAAAACATTTATTAATTAAAATAGATATTTGAAGTATTGAATTTTTTTATCTGAAGTCTTATTTAATTAATATCACATGTCAAATTTTTTAGAATTTAAATAAAAAAATATTTAATACTTTAAATACCTATTTTGATTAAAAAATTATTTTAAGTACTTTAATAAAAATATGATATATTTTAGGGGCTTATTTGTTATATAAGCCAACAAAAATATCAATAGGTTAAATTTGTTAGAATCGAGACTACTGTCTGATTTTATGTTGAGTATTGTCAATTATTATAAATTTATGAGGTGTGAAATTAGATTATCAATAAAAAAACATCTAAATTATATGAGAATTAAATTTTCTAGAAGTGTGATCGTTCTCCTTTACCTTCTTGCTTCATCTTTAATGGCATAAAGTTTGTATAATTCATAAATAAGGATGGATATAGGTTAGATTGGATAAAGTTTCGGGCTAGTCCAACTTGGGAAAAATACTTCCTCCACTTTAAACTTCATCGATCCAATTTTAAGAAAATTCTATCGACTTAAAATTCAACTCGCTCTTTGAAGTAAAATTCCCATCCTATATATATATATATATATATATATATATATATATTGTAAATAGAAACTTAATTGGAAAAAAATAAAGATATAAAATATTATTATAATTATATTTAAATGTATAAGAAATTATTACACTATTATCTTAAGAAGAAAGTCATAAATTTAAATACATTATCCTTCAATAAAATTTAGATCCATTAACTGAATTAATTTTTAAAAAAAATCAAACTCAATAAAATAAAATCAAACTAAAAATTATGGTAAATTAAGCATTTAATGCATAAACTATCTGATTTGGTTCATTTTAGTACCTAAACTTTTAATTTTTACAAAACTTAATATTAAATTTTGAACGGGAATATTGAAATAAAACAAAAACTAAAACTTTTAACGGTGTGTATTAAAATAGAATAAAAATGAAACTTTAAGCATAATTTAAAAAAATTAAAAACTTAAATACTAAACGGACCAAAATTATTAATTTAGATATTAACGCATAATTTACCCTAAAAACTATCAACCTTAAATCTCAACATTTTGATATTAGACGCTCGCACTCCTTATATCTATAGTACTCGAACTCAAATATTTAAAAGTAATAATTATTCTTTTTACTATGGATGTGATTTAATTCGTGTAGTATTAATATTATTTTGTTTGGTGTTTACATTGGAACAAGGGAAAGTGTTTTTGTCAAGATTGTGCACGTGTGCTCATCCACTTGTTGGGATTATGTGAATTACGTGGGACAACGAAATTCCCCCATTTTTCTAAACTATTGCTTTTGCACGGTTGCCTTGGTACCCCGTTTATCTTTTCGCCTCCTTTTGATTGTGACATCCCAACACCTTCTTCTTTATTGTTTATTTCATCTTATTTTCAAATGCAATCTTTTTCGATAATGACACTCATTAGCATGCTATATGATTTAGGGTTAGAGTGATGAAGATGTATAACTCTAAGGGCCAAAAATACCATTTAACTCTAAAACCTATGTATCATCTTTCGGTTTTAATAGAAGGGCTAATTGCGGAATAAATCCTCAAACTATGGTTTGGATTTCACACATAATGAAAAACGACGTTATGAACGGACATTTTTCTTTTATAGACTATGAAATAACCTCAAAACTTTTTCTCATCATTTTAAGAAAAACCCTAGTTTGGTATCCCTTTTAATTTGTCAATGATAAAAGTTTCATATCAATAAAAGTAGTCCATGTCAGCAGACGTGGCTTTTATGTTACCCTTTCATTTATGATTTAACACCTCGGTTACTAGAATACGAGTAAATAAAAAATTTGGTGAGTAAATTGATTTTTTTTTAAAATTTGATATCTAAAATAGGAGTAAAAAGAAAATTGATTGATGAAAGTTATAATTTAACCTAAAATCATTTGTTACTTTCGATTGAAACAAATTAGCTTTTTACCTTTTCATATCCTACACGAGTGGGAACTAGGAAAGTGAATCATCATAACTTGGATCTTTATAACCCCATAATGAAATAAATTTTAAAAATAAAATAAATTATATATACATTAAAGAGAATAAAGGTAAACATGACCTAAAAAGCACATCTTCTTTATATATATATATATTATAAAACTTTTAGTTTTATACAAATTTTAAGATTATTAGATGAAATTTTAAGCCAATAATTAAAAATATATTTCATAATAATTATACATTAAATAGTATTTGTCTTTGTTTGATTGGTAGGTGTTTAATAGGTTTGGAAAGTAACCCTGTTTTTTATGTAATAAGATTCATTCCATTAATGGATGTCACATTTTTTTATTAATATAAGATATTATATGTTCAAAGATAAACTCTCAACCTTTCGACACTGAATGCTCACACCCTTGGTTTTTATAGTGCTCAAACTCGAGTTTCTTTATCATTGAGACCATTCGATTCGTGCAGGTATGTCACATTTTTCCATCCATGTGAAAGCATCAAATATGATAACATCTTTACATTTTTCTCATACCAAAGTGGTCCTAATGCAACCCGAACTGATTTAATTAGGTCAAATTCTATTTCTAATTAAGAATTGGATTAAAAAAAATCTTTAGTTTTTAGATTGAATTTAGATGAATATCAAGTTGTTTACATAGACTCGAACTCAATACATTACTTAAACGATATCAAACTGCTTACGATTTGAACTAAACATATATTTTTATATTTAATTTGTAAGTAATCAAGCAAATGAAATCAATTATTTAAAGGCGTGGCCCAGTGACGGAGGGCACGCAATGGATATTTTAGAAACTGTCCCGCAAATTGGGTGGATGCGCGTGGTTGTGGGCCTACAAGGCTAAAGCTAAACCGGCATACCACATGCAGAAGCCACAAAAGTAGGTGAAAGGCTTTAATATGAACAAATCATGTCCTCAATAATAATACATTATGTATTCTCAACGTTTAATGTAACAATTATTTTGATTTTTTATTAAATTATTTTAATTGCTATTATTTTATTTTCTATTGATCGACTAATCCGGATCATATACTGTAGAGGTAAGAGTTACCCTCCCAACCCAGTTTACTCCATTAACAATCGGATACTGCAGAGGTAAGAGTTACCCTCCCAACATAGTTTACTCAATTTACAATCGTCAGGATTTGAACTCTGATACTGCTTAAAGAATCTAGTGTCTCGTCACATTAGACCACTGGTTTATTGGTATTAACGATCATCATTAATTGTTAACATAATATATATTATATACACATACCTTACAAATATAACTGCTTAAAATCGTGACTTCTAAATTTTTATTTTTTTCAAAGCATACTTAAAATTTAGTTTTTGTTTCATTTTAGTATATTGTTTAAAAACTTAACATTAAGTTTTGAAAATATTGAAAATCTAGGTATTAAAACAGATCAAAATTGATAGTTTATGTATTAAACGCGTTAAGTTTTTAATGACAAGTACTAAAATGATTATGGGTTTGAATTTTTTTTAAAAGCTTAGGTATTAAAAGAATTACAATTAATAATTTAAGTACTAAATACGTAATTTACCCATCATTAAACGTGCGAGCATCTCAAGCAAAAAGAATAAATACAAGGAAATAAAAGGATTCATCGCACACCACCGTGTGCAACATGGTTTTCCTTTGAAGAATGGAACGGAATGTTCTGCGGGTCTTCTTTCTATCATTGATAAACGTTTGCGATGCATTTCATTTGCGAAGACATTATACAATGTACATTTAATCTAACTGTTATAATTTATGTTTTGTATAATTTTATATTCGATATTGTATTTTCTTATATTATATGTTACAAATAATAACGAGTAAACGATCGTATAATAATAAGAAAGACAAAAATATATGTTTTACATAAATAATCTTAAGAAAGTCACGAGACAATGGGTCACGTGTGAGTTATATGAATAATATTGTTGTTTGTAGAGGCTACGAGTTCGAGCACAAGTGACTGTAGGGTTATTGAACGTTCATTATT